ACAGAAATCTTTTGCCAAACTCCCTCTTCTCTTCTTTTGCACAGCGAAGTCTACTCCCCATACAAGTCACACACCACTTTCAAGGCCATGATTGGCATTGCACCTCATGGTCCCATCACCTTTGTGTCACCTCTGTATGCAGGTTCCATGAGTGACCGGGAAATTTTTAAGCAGTCAGGAATAGCCAAACTCCTCACACCAGAGATGGCCATTATGGTTGACAAAGGCTTTCTTGTGGACAATCTCTTCTCTGGAAAGGTTTACCGACCTGCTTTCCTTGCAAGAAACAAACAGATGACCAAAGAGGATGTCCAGCAGACACAGTCTATTGCCCGTGTGAGAGTGCATGTTGAGAGGTGCATCAGGCGAGTAAAAGAGAACAAACTGTTTGATAAAGTCATTCCTCTGTCAGTGTGTGGGAGCATTGACCAGTTGTTCACCGTCGCTTGTCTCTTGGTGAATTACCAGAATGGACCACTGGTTAAGGCATGGGCAACACAGAAATGAATGGACTAGAATTTTTATGAATCAGTTTACAATCAGTTCCAATTTCTTTGTTCAAGTTTTATTGTTAATTTTTACGAATCTATACAAAACTTGAACTGATACTGTATGTTGTATGTTTACAAACATACACAAATGTAGAGATGTTATTGTTCATTTTTACAAATCTATATATATCTTTGTAAATGCACTCACACACTCTCTCACACACATACTTGCTCATTTGTTATTGCTGTTCAGTTCATTCCATTTTGATGGTCATGTATTTTTACCCAACATGTAATATAATTGTTCATTTCTGTTCATTTTTGTTCTGTTACAGTTAGTAATAGATGATTGAAATAAATAACATCTTAAGAGTCCAACATTTCTCTTTGTAACACTTTGTTCAGATTTGATTCTAAGCATAATGTAAAATTATTGAGAAACGTTTTTTTTGTAGTTTTTTTCTGTACAAAAAATGCTAAATTTTGACATTTTTTTTAAACATTTTATAACATTTAGATATGAATCCAACTTGTGAAAATATATCTTTCAGGTAGTCAAATAGTATAATGGAGCCATGTAGCTGTAATGTTTCAGGCAGCAAACTTAAAGTTTAATATTCAAACAATCCAACAATCGAAACAAGTGTGTATGAACACAAACAATAACCGGCCAGTGAACAGAGAAACAGGGGGAGCTTAAATACACAGAGATAATGACAAAGACAACAGGTGACGATGATGAGTGAAACACAGGTGAAGGCGGGGATGACAACGATGATGAACAGGTGATGATGATGACGGAGGATACTGGGAAGTGTAGTACAGATGAAGACAGACAGTGAATGTGACAATAGCCATCTAGTGGTTAAATTGATTTTTCAAAAATGGGCATAAATGTTACATTAAACCATTTAAAATTATCCATGTTATCCCCATGAATGAAAGTTAGATATCTGGGTCTTTTATAAAGTGAAATTTGCATAAAATACTGTTGTTGTTTTTTTGTTAAAAGCCTATTTAAATAAATATTTTTTAATCTATTCATAGAAATTTACAAGATATTATAAATCCTCCCAAAACTACACAAATGTTGAGGAAAAACATTAACAAACAGAGTAAAATTGCATTTGTAAAAACATTTTTATAATCCTGTTACAAAATTAAATGTTATTGTCTGGGGTATCTGAAGACCCCAAAGATCACAAGTGACAACATAAATGAGGGTTAAACTGATATGTTGTTTGTTTACAAACATTCACAATTTAATAAATACATACAAAAATAGAACTGATTTACTGTAAATTATTCTAAGAGTAACAGTAAATAGTAACAGTATCTATTTCAAACACACAGCCATGTAAAAATAAAAAAAGAAGTGATCCCCCTTCTCCCTAATGATTTGTGCAACCTCTGCATCTTTGTAGATTCTTTGGATGACCATGTCATCCTCTGCAAACACCACAAAGTCACACCACTCCATTCCACTTATTAGAAGCTGGCCTTGGACCTGCCAGTAGTAGCTGTGCTGCCGTTTTAATTGCATTGTGTTGCCATGCAACTTCAAGTACTTGCAATCAACATAGCTCTTGCAATTTGGACATTTAATCTCAACCAAACCATAGGGAGGGTTTTCGGTTGGGTCAAATACAACCCCGTCAGGAGAAGACCCTAACCAGGGGGCATCAGGGTGGATGATAAACCCACAAGGCCAATAGTTTGTGTTCTTGATCCTGCAGTACTCCTCAATGGCAACAGGTTCAAGTACCAGGCCCCTCTTCATGGCAGCAGTTTGAACAGTGCCCTTCCAAATCCTCTGAGCGAGCTGCTGTGCTGTACTCTCACCTCGAACATGGCACAACTCTCTAAAGTGTGAGGACGTTATTCGTGGTCGACGAACCTGATGCCACTCTGCAGACAAGCTCTGGTCCCGTGTGGAAGCCTCCACCTGTCTGGCCATTTCAATACTTGTCTGGAGGGAGACCAGATGAAGTTGTTGTTGTTCACTGCAAACAAATTGACAGGTTGTAGGCTCCAACCTGTAATCAGCCAACGGCAGAAGTGGAGGTGGAGGTGCATCTGAGTGCAACTGGATGGTCCTGGTGGGTGCTACTGGGTGCTGAGAGGCGATGGCACTTCCCTCCTGCACTTCCCCTAGTGCTGACTGGACTAACGGAACATCAGAACTAATGGCCATGGTGGTGATGAGTGGTGCCAAGGTCGCAGGGAAATCACTATACACCTCAGCCACTTTGAGCATGTCCACATCTGGCAGTTCTCCCCTCAGTGCTTTGTAAAGTGTGCTCCTGTGTACATGGTAACATGCTGTGTTTCAGATGTGTTTATTTTCATATTTAAATCATGTTTTATCTAAATTATAGAAATAACATAAAACATTATTACCTTACACCATTTCCAACCGTCTTTTGCTTGGGTTTGGCTGCCAACACGACCATGTCTCTGACCCGGCCTGGCTTCACACCCTGTTGATAGTAATGGTCTTTAATGAAAGCAAGCTTTGCACACATACCAATTCAGCTGACTGACTACACTATGAAACAGTGTGGTAAATAATGCTCTCAGACTTACCATAGACCTTGGCTTGTGCCAGCGTTGCTCTGTTTCAGTGCAACTAAGGACAGGGGGTACAGCACTGATCTGAAGCTGCGAGAAGTGTGCTGTCTGATAGAGCAGTGCAACATTGTGATTGCACAGTGCCTTACCAGCCACACATGAACACACAGCCTCATACAGTTGCACCGGGAATGAGTGCTCAAGTGTAATCTTAAAAAAAACAAAAAAAAAAAACATTACCAATAACCATTGCCATCTTAAATATAGTACAGGCACAGGAAATGGAACAAAATCAACATTTCAGATTGTTAGTCATGGTAGGCTTAACCATATCATATTAGTTAACAAATGACCAAAAAAGGTCGTTTTTAGTTCTGTTTTTATAAACATTAAAATATGTTAGTATTACATATGTGAGATGTTAGTAGGCTATTACAAGTCAAAAACGTTACATGAATACTGAACATACAGATAACTGAAACTCCAACAAACTTACAACTTAACTTACCATACAAACTTAACTTAAACTTAACTTATAATAAACAACAGCCGTCACAAGCAGTTCCTGGAGTTTTCATGGGGGCTAGGTTAGATATCCGAGTGCTATTTTCTGCCTATGTTACTGATACAGAACCTATCCTAGCAACACAAAATCCCCAGGACATGTTTGGAGCAGAACTGGCTGGAACAACTGAACTATCTTAGATCCTACTCTGAGGTCGTGAGGTTTCTCATTCTTCCTCAGTGACCTATGGCAGGTAGCGCGGACGCTCACTCTCCCTGTCTCTGGCTCTTTGTTTGACACTGAGTTAAGAATAATATCATGTTATGATCAAAACAATTAAAACAATATAATATTCATCAGGCTCATTCAATGTTTAACGTTACCGGTTAGCAAGATAGCTCATAGGCTAGGCTACTAGACTAAAACAAAGCATAGTAAATTAACTTACCTTCGTAATGGTCAATGTAGCTGGAAATATACATTTTAAACCCCTTCTCCCGCTTGCTCTTTGGGGCTGATGTTGAGGATTGTATAATCCTATGTACATCGTTAACGGTAGTCCTTGGCAGGTCCTGCAAGCATCGTGTGTAAAATGCCATCTTCCTCGTTGACTAACTAAAGTTAACGTTAGCGTTCTCGCTCTGACAAGCAGCTGCTCGCTGTCAGACTCGCTCTGACAGGAGTAACCGGAAGTCGTGCGGCCTACCGTTACAACCCGGAAATATCGAACGTTCTGTTTATGCAACAAGCCTATTGACGCAACTTGAGATTTTAAATATTAGATATAGAATATACACAATTTACATATACAATATGCAATTTAATTTCATCTTACCTTGCATATAGCAACGGGAGTTAGCGTTCTACATAAAGCTACCACATAATAACACTAAAACAGCTCACGTTAGCTACAAGTTATCGCGAGAACAGATTCAGATCAGGCATACTACTGGCATACTAATGGGGTCCTACGCCCGGACTATTCACACCGAGTAACCGGATTATTCACCACACCGGCCCTGCAGGGCGGAGTTTGGACACCCCTGATTTAGCCTATACCTTTAACATTACTATGCTTCATGTGGTATGTCTAAAGTTGCAGCCAGTATAAATAAATAAATAAATAGACTATTCGTACTTGAATGAATAAATACATGAAAACTGGATTTCGTTGCAGTGTACTTTTAAAGTTTAAATCTTGAAATTAATTGAAAATATTAAATATGAAAATATGTTTGAATATTGCTTTGTAAAATTACATATAAGACAAAGATTCGTCCGAAATAAAAAAAAATAGAGTAACCAAGGATGACCAAACCTAACCGAATGTTACTGCATAAATGTGTGCATTTCTTATAAATCCAGATTATTTACATGTAGCTCCATATTATAAGTGGACTTTTGTGTCATTCTGACGTAACGCTCGACCGGAAGACAGTTTGTCGTGGCCGGAAGTATTACGTTTTCATGTCCGGGTCAGGCTGTGATTGTTTGGTGTGTGGCGAAGTTTTTATATTTAAGTTTTAGCATCGTGTTCGTGTTTTGGGGAACCCACAAACATGACTGAGGTAAAGCGGTGAATTTGGTTAATTGGCGAGTGTTTCAGATCGGTAGTCAAGCTGCTTAGTTTCGTGAAAAGTTTGTGAATGAAACCGGCGTGCTGTGTATTTCTGCACATGTGTGGTATTCTAGATATACAAATCTAATAGTAACTTATCTGACTAAACCGATGATCTGATTTTGATATTCTGTGTTTTTATTCCTATAGGACGTGCAGAAGCACTCGGTCCACACGCTAGTGTTTCGCTCTTTGAAAAGGACTCATGATATGTTTGTGTCGGATCATGCTAAACCAATAGCGCTGGACGAACAGAGGTAACTGTTAATACACAATAAATACACTATCCTGTTGAAGGGATTTGGTAGAACGGGATAACTGATCTCAGTATTTGATGTAAATGAAACCAAACTGACATCTATTTAAATGCTAGTAGCTCACGTTATATAACTGCAATTCAAATCTAACTAACGTTAGCTATTAACTAATTAACGTTACCGATAAACAACTAAAGCTAGCTACATAAAAATACCACTATTTATCGACTCATGACAGTTAAAATGTCAAAATTAGTCATTTCATAAACTGAAATCAGGGGGGGGGGGGGGTCAGTGCTGGAACTAATGGTTGCCCCACGACACGCATTGCCTCTGCATTTTTCAATTCCTATGGGAGTGTCGCAACTATTTTTTAATGGCTCTGGATGTAACCAATGAAAATATCTTTTTTCTTTCTTTTTTTTTTTTTTAAAGTTCAGGCAGTGTAGTATAACTTTCTGGCCTAGTAACTTAAAGGTGCTCTAAGCGATGTCACGCGTTTTTTAGGCCAAAACTTGTTTTGTCACATACAGCAAACATCTCCTCACTCTCCGCTAGCTGCCTGTCCCCTGAACACACTGTAAAGAAACGCGGTCTCTGCAGACACCCCAGGTTCCACAAACGGCAACAAAAACAAACTGGGCTAACCCGCACCACGAAACATAACAAACTGTTCCAGCCAATTGCGAATTACTTATATCTCACAATTCGAAATTTTCCTGCAATTGTTAAAAAAAAAGTCAGAATTTCAAGATATAATCTCACGGTTGAGTTGTAAATTGAGTTATAAACACAAATGCAAGTTATAAACTTGCAATTAAAAAAAGTCAGAATTGTGAGATGTAAACTTCCTGTTGTTTGGGGGGAAGAAATAAAGAAATTTTGTGATATTGAAAGTTGCGATTACTTTGTTTTTTTTCTTCTTTAATTGTGGCGTAAACAATGTTAGTTAATATTACTTGTACCTTAAATGTTTTTAGCTTCAAAATGAAGATGGCAGTGAAGATGAAAACCGAGTACAGACCTGTGTTAGACATGCCTGTGCTGAAAGAGGGCAGAGACAAAGGGCCACTCCATGCCTCTGATCCATATGGCTTGCCGCAATACCCACTGCCTGGTACGTCTCTTTCTTTTTGGCCTTTGATATATTGTTTTGTTTTTTAGTGATTGAAGCTCTTAACCTGTTAAGCTTCAAGCCCATTTTTGAAAAATCCCCAGATATGGCATTCCCAAACTGAAACAGATACAGTTCATGAACCCTTTGTACTAAAAGCACAAGTAAGATCTCATTTGAAAGCTGACACCTGGAAGTTTATTGTAAATGTAGAATTAATTATTGTCATAATGAAAAAAAAATAGTTATAAATAGCTTCAAAGTTTTGTAAAGTTATTATACATTTATTTTTATGAAACATCTTCATGAAAATAAAATTGAAGTTGGCATTGTAGCAATCTAGAAATGCACTGCAGCTAAAGCCACATGTCTAACCATGTTATATTTAAAATCTGAAGATGATAAGTCTAAAACTCTGTATTTAGTTCAATGTTTTTCAAGATCATGTCATATGACTTTATTTTGATTAGACTGGTGTTTATTGTCATCTTATAAGCATCTATTCAGTCTATTGCCTCTATTGTTTTGTGATGCAAAAACGAGTCCCATTCAGTCTCAGGCTCCCCTGCACATATTCACACCTCTCCAGCCTGTTTATTGCTCTAAATATGCTTTTCTTTTGTCTGCATTATAATCACTAACGACTAGCAATTCACACTGTTTCAATCCCTCATTTATTTTATAAAAGTTCTCACTTCACAGTGAAACTGTATCAAACGCCCTTTTTGAAAAACGAAACATTTCAGTAAGCATTCTTATTTAGAAAAAAAATCATAAAAATTACATCGAAGTTAGGTAGCAGGTGCTCAGTACTAGCTAGCATGTTAGCTTAGCACACCCTCAATACACGACAATTTATGAGAATAAAACTATGTTTGTGCTCCAACTTACTTTATAGCGCAAGTCAAGTGTTTTAAATAACTTTCTGTAATCTGATTTGGCTTCAGATAGAAAATATATTATTTTATTGTATTCTGCACAATTTGAAAGTCTATCTCGATTAGCATTACATTATACATATAATCTATTATTATGAAAATACCTGACATGACTCGAAGAACACAGGTAAATCAAATATCATTGCAATCATGTTTATTGTCTTCAAAACATCTTTATCTGCACTTTACAGCGATCTCGGATAGCTTTGTTTATGTGTCAGGACTTCCTGAATGTCACATGATTATGGCTCTTCTTCATGTGATCCATATATGGACTTTACTGTGCAAACAGCGCCCCAGACTGTTAGTATTGATAACACAGTACATCAGAGTATACAGCGCTCAAAATGATTACATCGACGCATTTGGGTATAAATTCAATAAATATTATTCCTGTCTATAGAAGTCTGATGTAAACCTATGAGAATCTATCAATATTTCTCCAAATCTGCACATGTTTGAGCTAAAAGCCCTGAGGGACGTTGTTTTGTGAATCGCTGTCATGACGATCGCACGGGAGTTTTTTTCTGAATGAGAGCAGCTTACGCTCATAATTCATATTAAAGGTAACGACTCATTTTTGTATTTCATAACTCCTGACACAAATTAAGACATAACTGTCACTATAAGTTTCACAGAATACAATAGTGGTCAAATACTGAAACTTGAGTCTTATATCGTTTTAATGATGTATAGTTTGTCAAGTTAATCACATTAAATATGATAGTAACTTTGAACTATTTAAAAAAAAAACGCTTCAGAGCGCCCACGCACTGGTGACGGTTAACAGGTTAAAAGATTTGTTAGTGAAATCTGCAACATCGATTCATCAGTTTGCCATAATTGTTTTACTTTTATTAATGCAGATACTAGTCCAGATTACTTGGTGACGGGAACTCATCCATACCCATCTGCTCCAGGTAAGACTTGAGGTTTTTAATGTCCTTTCTTTTAAGCTTGAGAACCTAGATGCTGAACTGCATTTGACACTGTATTTTCTTCCGAGGCCTAATCAAGTTTTTTTTTTTTTTTTTTTTTTTTATGTTTTCAGGAGTGGCCCTCACTGCAGACACACAGATGCAGAAGATGCCCAGTGAAGCAGGTGTTCACTCCATGGCTTTGGCTCTTCCTCCCTCTCAAGCTAGGTACTAAGCTAAACACCAATACTTCAAACTACAATCTCTCATTTTCTTTTAAAGGCCCAGGTATACTTAAGGAGTTTATTCCTTTGACCTTGAGCGTGGATAGATGTGCTTGTTGTATTTGCACTTTCTAGTGCACCATTGTTTTCAAGTGCTCAACTCACTCACACATGCTAAGGTTTTGACCATTCAAGCTCTATAATCTGTGAAGGAGAACTGAATTTGGGATCACATGCTGTCTGAAAGGCGGCTTTGCTTACACGGGCTTTAGGTCTGAGCCCGGCAGCGAGAGTAGCGCATTGAGAGAGTTGCTTTTTTGCACTTCCATGGCTTGAACAAACACGCATACGCATGGGGCGGCAGTGGTTCATGTAGGTTCATGTAGGTTGTCTACAAACCGGAAGGTTGGTGGTTCAATCCCAGGTTCCACCTGACCAAGTGTGGAGTTGTCCATGAGCAAGACACCTAACCCCAGCGTCTCCCGACGAGCTGGATGGCGCCTTGCATGGCTGACACCACCGTCGGTGTATGAATGAGTGAGTGCATGGGTGAATGTGAGGCAATATGTAAAGCGCTTTGGTGGCCATTGGGTCTGTGAAAGTGCTATATAAATGCAGTCCATTTACCATTTTACACACAATTTTCTCAAAATACCCATCTCCAGGGCCTAAAACAAACTTTTTGCTACACATGCCAATTATCTATGCTTGAAATTTAGTTTGTTCTTAATTTCGGCAACACTTGATCCATTAATAGTAACATTTTATCTTCTGTTCTTGGCCTATATCTATTAACTTTATTAAAAAAATAAAGTTTTTAATCTTACTGCGTTAGATTAAACTGGGAAGGGTCATAGCACCTGCATATTGTTCTATTGTTAGTTTAACTGCTTCCATTGTTCTCATTTGTAAGTCGCTTTGGATAAAAGCATCTGCTAAATGAATAAATGTAAAATTTGTTACTGTACACTTGCCTTTAATAATGTTTGAAATGTATTAGTTTGGCGGCTAGAAGTTTTTGTTATTGGTTTAAGAACTTTTTGCTTTCTATTTTTTACTTAAAGAAAACACTGTTTTTTTTTCCTTTTCTTTTTGCTGATCCGTGACTCAAAAACGTAATTTAATCCTTGTTTTGTGATCCGTTGCACTCCTACTAAAAATACCGGATCATGAGCTGCTCATCCGTAAAAGAGCATGGTGCCGTGCTTCACTATGAAACAACCAGTACATGTATTTTTAATATTGATTAATTTAATAATTGCTTAAAGCAATATCATGATTTTGGTTAATCATGCACCCCTACTCTGTTCTTGATTAAAAAACTTTTTAAACGAGATGTTTCGGTTTCCATCCACAGCCCTAAACTGATAAAAGTGAATTAATATGTGGATAATTCAAGATAAACAAAATCCCTTTAAGGGTGCGTTAGCGTTTGCACTGTAATTGTGATGTAATCGCATGGGTTTTTGAATGTGGTTTGAGTGTTTCAATCGCAAAACATTTTGGACCTTGTTCTACTCCTGTATTTAGTGCTGTTCACTTGTTTGATCATTTTGAGACCAATTAAAGTGTAAAATAGGCTTTTGAGTTTTTTTTTTTCTTTGCTTTGTAGGCAGGAAGCCAGTCGAACTGCAGCCAGTGTGGCGGATATCCACAGACATGCAGGAGGTGCAGAGAGATCTCACCCCCCACAACACGCACTGGTGAGCACCACCTTTCATTTTTGTATTTTCAGTTTTCATTTAAAAGTTTTCGTAATTGTATGTACTTTAATTAGTTTTCTCAGTTACTGAACATGATTTTAATTGTTTAAAAATCAGAAGCACCTTCCATCCACTCAATTCTGTTTGTTTCTTGATAGCTTGTTTCCTTGATTCCATGTCATTTCATGAATGAGAGATAACTGACCTTATCCCATGTTTATTTTAGTAGGCTACCTAAACTTCACAAACTGAAAAACTGCAACCATCTACATACTGATGTACAAAATTATTACAAAGATGAAGCATCAACTTTTCCTTTTCCTGTTGCAGTCTCTTATGGAAGGAGGCACAAAGAGTTCTGGCCTGGTGCCTAGAAAGGCTCCTACCATGCCCAAACCTCAGTGGCATCCACCATGGAAACTGTACAGAGTAAGTGCTTTGTCCACCTCCAGGAGTTAATCAGCATGTTTGTTCATATCACTCCTGAGTACTCGTGAATAGAAAATTTGTGTTTGTGCTTCGTGTTATGTTGTATGTCTGTGGCTTCCATTTTTAAAGACCATTATCGCACAGGTCCAAAAGGGCAGTTTATAATGATGGTGTTTCATTGGTAATGATGTTCTTCTCTGGTTGTCTCTCAGGTCATCAGTGGCCATCTGGGCTGGGTGAGATCTATAGCAGTGGAGCCTGGAAACCAGTGGTTTGTGACTGGATCAGCAGACAGAACAATAAAGGTGATCTATGTGACTTCAGATTAGGGCTGCATGATTTTTATATATATATATATATATATATATATATATATATATATATAATGTATGTATGTATGTATGTGTCAGACTGCAACTCATACTGTGTGGGAAGAACATCTCTCGTGTTGAATTTAGGGCAAGTTAACGAGACAATAACGCTTTAACAGTTAAAAAATGGCGACGTTAATGTAGGCTTTATTTGACCCTATGAATCACGTGTAGTTCAAGCTAGGGTGCCGTTAGCCGATTATTCAGAATGATATTGGCTGAGACCGATAGTTTGATTTTACTTGAGGATAAAAAATCTCTCCCAAATAATGCTGCAAACTATACAGAGTACACTCTCATTTGGTACACACTATAAGATTAGAGGTTAAAATTAACAACAGGGCTGTTACTGTTATATTCAACTGCTATTTATTTCCAGATATAATATTTACACTCAAAAGGTGACATGTTTGTATAGACCTCAGTTGCACATAAGGTAGATTTCATAATACTACTTCATGGCAAATTTATTCAAACATGCATGTATAATTAACAGTAAATAAGCTCTTCTCTAGTGTTTTTATAGCTAGCTAACTAAAAAACTGTGCACACAGGATAACTTTCCTGAGGTAAATGCAACATTAAGTGATATTGTTTACAAGCTGTTTTGACGTTTTTCCGCTGTTGAAACAGATTGAGTGATTACACGAGTCATGATACGGATTTTGTTAAGTTGTACTGTATCTTTCAACAAACCTTCTGATATTAATGCATTTTTTTTCTAGATATAATTTGTCTTAAAGTGGAAGAAAAAAAGACTTGTGCTCCGCACTGGTTCTTAAACTGAGGCGCTACTACCTCAGTAACGGATCTGACACGTCACATTTAAGAGCACCCTGGCTTGAACTACAGGTTAATTCATAGGGTCAAATAAAGCTTGCTTTAACGTCGCCATTTTTTTAAACTGTTAAAGCGTTATTGTCTCGTTAACTTTCCCTAAATTCAACACGAGAGATTTTCTTCCCTCACAGTATGAGTTGCAGTCTGACATGTTTTTCCACACCCTTTTGATTGACAGGATTAAGGTTGGGCATCGTTTTGATTTGAACGATTCTGATTCCGATTCTTCCTTTCGATTTCCGGGTTTTTTTCCAATCTCGATTCCGATTATTTGAGGGGTGGAGTCAAAACATGTCACAGGCTCATTTCACAGAGGAACATTTTATTTTGATTCAATAATGAGTTTTAGTTTTGGGAGCTGCAGCCCATGTGGGAGAAAATCAGGAATGGCTCTGGCATTCCTAATTTCACCAGACCAAAAAACAATTTATATATGCAGAACTTGCACCCTGGTCTGGACTCTCTGGACATGTATAGGCTAAACAGTAATATTAGGACTGCTACTAGTGTGGGCAATTTGCATTACGCTACATTCATCTACGAGGGAAAAAAATAATTTCAGTAACTTTGTTGTTGACCACAATTAGCAATTTGGTCAAGTGCTTTGTTACACTACAATTATGGAGCTAATAATATGACAAAATGATTTGAATTTGAATTGTGTAGGGCTGTTTTCGACTAAGGATTTTCATAGTCGAATCTGATTCGTTAGATTTTGCCGTAGTCGACTGATAGTCGTTTTTTTTTTTTTAGATAGCAGCTGAACGTTCGGTTGAATAACTGTTCGTCTGTTATAGGACAACTCGCTCTACGTTTATTTAAAATGAACAGCAAGACAACTAGAAGTGAATGTGCTTTCCATTAAATGAATCCTTAACAAAAAAAAAAAAAACGTTGCAATGAACGTGCTTTGTTTTAAATAAATCACACACAGTAAACAAAACCTTAACAAAAAAACTTTGCAATGAACTTTGCAATTTAGACGCGCAAACTGCGAGCCGGTGCGGTGAGACGTAGCCTACATGCTCGGGCAGATTCGGCTTGAAGTCGTTAATCCTCGGATGCGGCGTCGCGCGCGCTGTTACAAAAAAGCCGTGCACACAGCCAAGCGAAATGGGGTCTTGCCGGTCTTGCACCCAACGCGTCATTTTTTGCCGTGCGCACCTTCGCGCTCCTTCGCGCTCGTACGGACGCGTCGAGTATAAACAAGGCTTTACTCCGTGTCAGCGCGCGCTCTGATCGGTAAAGGGGCACAGACCTCTCCCGAATCATCTCCAGCACTCAGCCTCCGATGCACCACTAACTCCGCCTCCGCTTCCCTCATAAGATGATATTAGTATTTAAACATTCTCTATGATAAAAAATGTTTGTAAAAAATATTTGAATAGCACGGTTTTGGCGGTTATGTAGTGTTCTAATGACGGTGTTCACCTATAACCGTCGTCTCACGGTAATATAATACACCCCTATTGGTTACGTAACATAACACTTCCCTATTATTCGACTATGAGGTTCACAGTCGAATCAGACCTCTCCGAATCGAATCGTCGAATCCTCGACTATTAGAAGTCAGCCCTAGAATTGTGTAAATTTGAATTATTTGCAAGTGTAATCTAACAAAATTGAATTCTAGGTGGTAGTTTAAATAGTTCTGAATTTGATTTTTTTAAACGAATATTGAACATTTGAAATTTAACAAATTGAAAGGTTTTTATGGCTGAATTTTATAGACATGTATTTTCAAACAGCTAGTTTTTTGTTCTGAATTCAAATACTGCAAATATTCAGTTTAAAAAAATACAGATTCAAGTTTTCAAGATGAAGAAATTCGGAACCTCAGATTCAGTTTTCTAAAATTCAAACTCAAAAATTCAAACTCAAAAGTTCAGGTCTTACAGAAAGTAGGTCACAGGTCATCCACAGGGAAGAGTAGATGATCTCAGAAAAGTCGAACAGATCATTTTGGTCCATTAGGGACTGCAGAAGGTGAATGATTTTGTGTTTGTTAGGTAGCGTTCTCATCACGTGAGACATTTGTCTAAGCAGTCTCTGGTGTTTGTTTTAAAGTATATTTTGTGTAAAATTGATTAGAACGCCACCGTATCACCTACACAGACAGGACGCGAGCGGCGCGGCGCGACGCATCAGTGCTTGAAGCGACTGTTGCAAAGAGCTGAGACTAGGTCACAAATAGGATGGGGAATCCGTGTGCTGTTGAGGATTTCACGGGTCGCGTCGCTCCGCTCGCGTCCGGTCTAGACTGCTTCGTACATGTAAGCATAAGGTACGAGTGTGAATTAGCCATTAAATGTCTTACAATAAGCCTACCTACCTAATGCAATTGTCCTTCAATATTAAAGTCTTCTCTACTGATTGATGACTGACTCCGTAATAAAGACGGTCTTTGCCGCCATCTAACATTACAGGTGAAATATTTTAACTTTTGCTGCTGTTCACGGCCAGGGACTATTTTTTTTCCAGCGGAAGGTAGGCTTTTGGGGGTTTTACTTCATGAAAGTTGCACTAATAATTAAAAAAAAAAACTTTAATATGATCATTGAGTGGTAATCGCTTTAGAAAAGCAATAAGGTATTCAAGGCTAGTGCTGTCTCGTGAATAAGTCACGTCTGACGGCCGTTTCACACCGCATGCGTGAGCAGCGCGTATTTTTTTCCACGTGCATGTTAATCAATGAGTGCATCCACACCGGGAGCAGGAGCAGCGCGTGAGCGTCGAGCAGGAGCGGCGCGTGAGCAGCGGTGAAGCGGGGGTTTCGGCGTCGATCTGTTTTTGCTGCACTTCTCCATGCTCAATTAAAGTGAATACACTTTTGATGGACAAAATTTCACACAAAAAGTGCCCAAAATGCACAGAATAAGCATGTCTAGTGAGTTTTAACAAGAACTTGAGTTGGCAAAAAAAAAAGAAAATGAAGACTAAAAAATAGTTAGGCCTATAGAAGATTAGGCTACCCGTTTTAACTTGTTTTTAATTATTCAGTTTGGGTGAATATATATTATATAAATATATATACATATTATATTTAAAATAAATATAATGGTGTATTATATTTATTTTATGTATATATATATATATATATATATTAATGGTGTATTATATATAAAACTAGTGTAAACTAGCCAGAAAATATTATATATAATTTAAACTTTCTTTTAGTTTATGTAACACAGACAGCTACAACCCAAACTAAACCCAAGTGTGCGGTTTTGTGTGTGTGTATGTTTTGTAGTCTTGTAAACATATCGAAAGTATGACTGAAACGAATATTGGAGCTCTTTTCTGGGTTGTTTTGTTGTTTAACATTTATATGTGAATGTTGTACACCTCCCCATAACAAACTTTCAAGACTATCAATTTTATAAATTACCAACTTCTAAAACTTCTTTGTAAAGAATTGCTCGCATATATATGTAGCTTTGGAGCCGAGCTGCTGTGACACTGTACAAAAGCTTCCAGCGTGAATACTCTCGCGCGTCTGCAGCTGCAGTGGCGATGTAGTTACGCTGACGCGCTGCTCAAGTGCTGCTCACGCATGCGGTGTGAAACGGCCGTGAAGGGGTTGCAACTTGCAAGCACTTCGGTTGGCGTAGTATTCACGATACAGCACACCCTCTCGTACCGTATGCTTACATGTACGACGCTGTCTAGCCCGGACGCGAGCGGAGCGACGCGACCCGTGAAATCTCCAACAGCACACGGATTCCCCATCCTATTTGTGACCTAGTCTCAGCTCTTTGCAACAGTCGCTTCAAGCACTGCGTTGCGTCGCGCCGCTCGCGTCCTGTCTGTGTAGGTGATACGGTGGCGTTCTAATCAATTTTACACAAAATATACTTTAAAACAAACACCAGAGACTGCTTAGACAAATGTCTCACGTGATGAGAACGCTACCTAACAAACACAAAATCATTCATGTTTAAGAAACCTTCTGCAGTCCCTAATGGACCAAAATGCTCTGTTCGACTTTTCTGAGATCATCTACTCTTCCCTGTGGATGACCTGTGACCCACTTTCTGTAAGACCTGAATTTTTGAGATTGAATTTTAGAAAACTGAATTTGAAGTTCCGAATTTCTTCATCTTGAAAACTTGAATCTGTATTTTTTTAAACTGAATATTTGCAGTATTTGAATTCAGAACAAAAAAACTAGCTGTTTGAAAATACATGTCTATAAAATTCAGCCATAAAAACCTTTCAATTTGTCACATTTCAAATGTTCAATATTCGTTTATAAAAATCAAATTCAGAACTGTTTAAACTACCACCTAAAATTCAATTTTGTTAGATTACACTTGCAAATAATTCAAATTTACACAATTCAAATTCAAATCATTTTGTCATATTATTAGCTCCATATAAAATCACGTACCTGATTGTGACAAGGTAACGTTACTAACGTTGGTTAGCGCAGGGTTGCCCGAGGACGACGGGACAGTGGACCTGCGCAGTTAAACCACTTTTTAAAACATCTCGCGGCATGGATGTACCACTAGAAATAAATAAATAATCTCCAGTTTACTAGCAGAGCATTAATTTCGTTCTTTTGTTAAATAAGATGATATCTAGTGCTAAAATGTGTTTTTTAAATTAAGTGATCAAAGTGCTCGTTGCCGCCTGCGATCAGTGGTGCGGATACAGTGTTCTCTTATGGCTCGAGCACAGTCTTCTCTCGGACGTGAGCTTCAATCCGTTGCGGAGACTCTATATTCGTTCCAGTGAAATCACAAAACAAATTGCACACAAACGTTTCCCTGCTTGATGTACAACCACTGATGAACACATTCGGTTTTGATGAGAAAAAAAACTATACGAGTGCGGATTAGAACCCATAACCTGTGACATGCGTGGCAAAAATTCTGCCACTGGACCAAATACGTACACACGCAAATCGTATCTATATATGTATTCAAGTGAAATGAAAATCACTGTGCCGACCCAGGCTTTATTAAGGTGAAATAAAGCCACACTTTTGAGCGCCGCTTACCGTGCTCCATGGCTGCAAAAGAACAGGCGCGGCAAGCACTTCCACAAATCCGGTGGCCACTATGGACCAAAACTTGCGCGTTTTTGGAACTGATGATCGGAATCAAAAACAAATTTTCTAAACAATTCCAATGGCATCGTTATTTTTTAAACGGTTCCAAGTTGGAACATATAATTGGCCCTGATCAATGGCTGTTTTTAAACAATCGGCCGATGCATTGCATCTCTGTTTATTATGCATCACTGAATAGTGTTAAGCTTTTGTTCTGTAATGCCAGATCTGGGATCTTGCCAGCGGTAAGCTGAAGTTGTCTCTAACGGGTCACATCAGCACGGTGAGAGGTGTGGCCGTCAGCACACGCAGCCCTTACCTGTTCTCCTGCGGGGAGGACAAACAGGTTAAATGCTGGGATCTAGAGTATAACAAGGTACAAACTTTAAATACAAATACAAACATTGTGCATTCATTTTAAGCTTTACCTAAAAGATACCGACCGATATAGATACATTTTGAGTTTTGTGTTGTCCACAGGTAATAAGGCACTATCACGGTCATCTGAGTGCAGTCTACGACCTTGACCTCCATCCTACCATTGACGTACTGGTGACCTGCAGTCGAGATGCCACAGCAAGAGTATAACACTTTTTTTTTTTTCTTTTTTTTTTTTATAACGGATCATGAACATGTTATGCAAAGTGTAATGTATGTTTTCTGTGTGTGGTAGGTTTGGGACATCAGGACCAAGGCAAATGTTCACACCCTTTCTGGACACACCAACACAGTGGCTACAGTCAAATGTCAAAGTGCCGAGCCACAGGTGATTACAGGTATGCATACATTTTATTTTTTTACTCTGCCTTTTAAACAGACTTCTGCTGCTGGTGCATTTTTCATGGAAATACCATGTATTGTTCTAGGTTATATTCATGTTTCATGTGCTTTATATCCCGTCTTTAGGAAGTCATGACACCACCATTAGACTCTGGGATCTGATCGCTGGCAAGACAAGAGCCACACTGACTAACCACAAAAAGTCTGTCAGAGCGTTGGTGCTCCATCCCAGGCAGTATGTTGAACAAAAAGTTATTTTTTCAAAAACATGGTAAACTAATATAAATCGAATGGTAAACCTGTAAACGGAATAAAGTAATAAATTAAGGCCCTATGAAATGCACTTTTTTTTTTCTCATATTTTTTTTAGCTTGCCATAATCTGCATTTCCATTCCACATTTAAATTTTTACTGGATGTGTTTTGTTAAATTGAATTTATTCAGTAAAAAAACATTAATTTAACAAAAAAAACATTCATTTTTAACAAAAAAACCAAACTAAAATGTTTATTTAAATTATGTACAACGTAAATTTCATTTATCAGATCAATGGCTCTACAATTCAAGCTTTACAGCATAATTTTGCAAACATGCTTTACAGCAGTTTCACTGTATAAATCAGTGTTATTTTAGTATTGTTCATATAGTATAGTATTTATTAATATTTGTCTTTTATAAAAAAAAAATTGTTTTGTGCTTTTGTCTTTTTTATTAGTTTTCTTTATATTTATATAGGCCTTAATTTTTAAGTTGTAATTTTAGTGCTTCAAATTTAAGCTTATCTCATTTACTTGTCAAAACAACATTTTGCGTTTAAGTTTTTCATCTAAAATGTAATAGTTTTAGTTAAAAATAACAACAGTGGCTAAGACCAAATCACAGCTGTGCTGACAGTTAGTTTAAAAATACTCATGTAAAGGTCCTTGCACACTGAGTCCGAAATTTTCGTATGCGTTTTTTCGTATTCGTCATTCGGTGGCTCTGAATTGTCTAAACGCCTATTAAAATGCTTGCTATGGAGTCGAAAAACGCAGAAAATCGAACCCAATCTGATTTTTTTTTTATGACGGACGAAAGTTTAGGAGGCGGTGTGTAAGTGTGATTGACATAACGTGAGGTCGTATTTATTTTTTAACGTTCGAGAATTTCGGGCTCAGTGTGCAAGGAACATGCACAGTATGATACTACATATGATGCTGCTTTCAATAATTTAATATAATTATTATTAAAAAAAAGTTATATTAATGTATTTAGATTGAACATTACATTTTACTACATAATGCTTTTTGTTTTTTCATGCATCCAGTTAAAAGAGAGCTTTTATTTTGGTAATATTCTGACTGAAGACCTTTTTTTTTTGCCATAATTTGTCCAATTTAATTCAGTTTGTGTTTGTCATATCACAGAAAGTGTATGGCCCTAATCAAATAAATCATCGTTATATATTGTTGGTTATCTCCCACACTAACTGAGTTCCAGTTCCCCAGATCTGATCAAAGTATTCTTGTTTTTTTAAAATCACATCCTCTCGTCAACAGGTACACCTTTGCCTCTGGCTCTCCAGATAACATTAAGCAGTGGAAGTTTCCTGATGGGAACTTCATCCAAAATCTTTCAGGACACAATGCCATTATCAACACACTGGCTGTCAATTCAGATGGTGTTCTGGTGTCAGGAGGTGAAATACTCCTTCAAACTTTTTATGTTGCAAAGCCAGTCATGCTAAAAAAATGTATTGTGTTTAAACCATATTGAATTTTATCTTCTACATTTGTTTCCCCTTTGTCTTGTCTGGGGTGCATTTAACTCCACTTTATAAGTATACACATATACTTGCAAACTTCCATAATTACTTTGAAGTGAGTTCAGCTTCGTCAAGTGGATGAGGGAAGATTATTTGGACAGACCCTCGACGACTCAATTTTGTCAGAGGGAGCGAGTCTACTGATATGTATACTTTAGGCAGATCCATAGACCACAATACAACACGATTGCGACATCTCACCCATAGCAGATTCCAAGTGACCAAGGGCTTAGGATGTTACATTTAAACCCATTGCAAGGGTTCTGCCAGTTGTGGGCTCTCGTGCAACTCAAGCAATGATGGTCGTCCGCGTGAACGAGACGAAGGGTAGTTAGTGAAAGGCATAAAGCAGCCTTTTTTTTATTCACTTTTGTCCCTCAATTGTTGCATCTTGTTCTGACTTTCCTTTCTATTGTTTTTCACATCAGCTGATAATGGAACTATTCACATGTGGGACTGGAGGACTGGCTACAACTTCCAGAGGATTCATGCAGCTGTGCAGCCCGGTTCTCTGGACAGCGAGTCAGGGATTTTTGCATGCGTGTTTGATCAGTCTGAGAGTCGGCTCATAACAGCAGAGGCTGACAAAACCATTAAGGTCTACAAAGAGGATGAAACGGCTGTAAGTTCCCAGTTCACTAGGAATACTTGTTTAAAACTAAGTATAATAATTAATTAAAATAACACATTGACTGTTAAATGTTTATGATGGAAAAAAGTTATAGTGAATTTAAAATCCTCGAAGAGTTCTCCAACACTTTAATTCTAGATTGAAGAGAATTGCCTTGATGTGATTTTTGCAATTTTTCAGTTTTAATTTTTCATTGATGGACATGTTTTTTTCTTTCAGACTGAAGAATCCCACCCAGTCAATTGGAAACCTGAGATCCTGAAGAGAAAAAGATTTTAGGTTTTTTTTTTTTTTTTTTTTTTTCAATCATTTTTGTTACATTTTAGCTGGCTGATTTCTATGGCAATGTCTGCTTAAGGTGTAAACAAACAACAATTTAAGTGAAGTCAGGAGACTTGAGATCAGATGAGACATTTTGCTTTGCTCTACCCATCTAAATAACAATATGAATATTGCGGTTGTATACATGAGGAAAGGTTTCTTCCCGGTCTACTCCAAACACCATTTGCAGGTCTATGTGACAGTCTGCCCATCTGTTCATTCTGAACTTCAAGAAATCCTACAGAATAATAATGTTCTATTTCGGATCTGTGCACTGTTGCTGATCTCAGAATAACAATACAAATGTAATTTTGCATATGTACTTTTTTTTTTTTTAACAGCATATTCCTGGAAATTTAAAAAAAGGAAAAAACCTCTCATGGCTGGAAAAATGTTGTATTTCCTGACATAACATTTTGTAAAATAAAGAACCTAAGTTTAAAACCCATTGTTTTCATCCTATTGAACTGATCATCATCATTTCATGAAAGGCATAAATTCAAGAACAAAGTTGAACCTCTTGTGCCCTCATTCTCAAACAGAATATTTTTTGTGCATTATATACTGCTGTGTGTATCAGGTTTTAAACAGTAAAGTAATATTTTAAACGGTTTTTACTTTATTCACTTTTTTTTTATTCTTAAACTTTTATTTTTAAAGTATAGACATCACCTAAACCAGTGTTTCCCAGTTCCTGGAGGCTTCTAGTCTTGTGCTGTGTCCCAATTTAAAGGCTTAAGGCCACGCCTTTGAAGGTCGGACATAGCATTGTTATATGGGACTGGTTTGCTTACGGAGGACTGTTGTCGCCTAGCAATTGTGACAGCTGCCGTTTGATGAGCAGCAGTAATGTTTGTACCAGACTTTTTTTAAAGTTATATTCAACTGCCTAAAAACTAAACAAGGTTCACAATATATGTCTAAATGTATTCACCGTGGTTCATTTATGTAAATAATAGAGTTGGACATGTTGGATGACATGGGGGTGAGTAAATTGTAAGGAAATGTTTATTTGAAAGTGAACTACTCCTTTAAAGGGGAAATGAAGCAGTCAGTCAAGTTTACATAATTTACAAGATGGATTACCACTATAATCAAAAATTATATAAGAAACATGACAAATGTTAACATATAAAAGAAAAAAGAAACACCGTTATATCTTTCGAGCGGCAAGGGCGCCGCCATTGTGCAGTATTATAACTGGTGACGTCACGGGGTTGGTTGGCTCTGTGCTGAGTTCAGTAAAATACAGTGAAAGATGCATGTAAGCTGGTCGATCCAGCGAACAACTAACGTTAGGTACAGTCATTGTTAGCTAACAGCTGTAAGCATGAACTAGCCAATGATAACTTAGTGTTTAGCTAGTGAACTTTATTAGTACCAGACAAAAAGACGACGTCTAACGTTAACAAACTGCACATGGAAACATTGTTCGTGATGTCTGCAATCATATTCCTGTCTCTTGTCAACACCATGGTCAAGATCAGCGTCTTGACAGCAGATGGATCGTGCTATCGTGGCGTAATAATCTGTTTGGTTGTAAAATGTATTACCTGAATGAAATGAAATCGAATGTATCGTCCTGTGGAATCATTCATTAATATAACGAGATTTGGGCCATTTGGGCTGTATCTTTTTTATGGGCACGAGCGATGCTCAATCTGCAAATGCATCACTCTTTTTTTTGGTCGATTCTGTTCAAAGACTTCATCAAACAAATTGGCAGATCTGTCTAAATCGGTTCGCGAATCTGTTTGATCTGTTCAGTTTTCTGCACGCACTGAATCACTTAAGCGCTTTCAATTCACACTCGACTCGGGAGTTGTAACAGGAAGATTTAAGAGCATCAAGAGCGTTGGATGAAGTGGCCGTGGACCTACAGTACAGTCTAGTGAAAGCAAATCGGCAAATCTATCATATTGTTTGCCAGCGATGAAGAAGTTATAGTTGAACACATGGGCGTAGGTTTGGTCTCAGCTTTGGTGGGGACATCCCCCGCCCCCATCCCAGCAAACAAGGGACGTCCCCCGGACGTTTCAAACGTCCCCTTAGGTCCGCATTAGGTCCACTTTGTAACGTTCCCGATCGGACGTTCGGAGGACGTCCGCACTTGGTCCCATTTGTAACGTTCGCTGACGGACATTCCGATGACGTTCGCATTTGGTCCGCTTTGTAACGTTCGCTGAAGGACATTCCGATAACGTTCGCATTTGGTCCATTTTATAACGTTCGCTGACGGACGTTCTGAGGACATTTGTCCGGGCCAGTTTGCGAACGTCCCTATTTCGTCCCTCACCTGGCATTTCCATGACAACACTTGCAAAATCCAGTCGCCCATGCGTTTGCCATCATCAACTGACACTTTGCAACTCAGACAAACGAATAATTAAACTAAAATATAAATGCAAATATTTGCATTAATTGTAAAATTAAGTTCATGCTAAAAATGTTAGTGTTTTAATGTTAAGATAATAACTTTCATGTAAATTATATCACTAATTAAAGATGTAATAAAACCACGAGTCTGTTTTCACCCGTTATAATTTAAACATCAAAAACTTGATTCAATTGAAATTGATTCAATTGAATATGAGCTATTTATAAAGGCTATTCCACATGCACGAAGAGGTTGAATCCCAGGAGCTCTAAAAGAATGCATCGACTTCAAATGATGAATGCAGCCAAGGAAAACGTGAAGAATGAAAAATTGCTGGAAAGAAAGTGGAAAGTAACACGGTAAGACAAATAAAAGTATCCTTAACATTTACCTGTCAAACTGTTGGTCAGGCGAAGGTGACTGGTTTTATTAAAAATAATATATTTTAGGAAAAATATTATTCTAATTATTGATAGCACATGCAGATCAAATAGCACAAAAAAATTGGAGAAACAAGCAAGTGACGATCGAATCATAGGATCAAATGCACCTAAGCGAGTGACGTCATTCCTTATGTACGCGGTTTGTATCACAGTCTATGGTTTGTATCCATGGCAACGCTCAGCTGCGTAGCGTAGTGACAGTTAACGGTCCTCCTCAGACGCAGCCTTGTATTTTCTCTGTCCGTCGTCTGTCTAAAGGTATTTTTAATTTCGGGGACCTTTACGGAACGTTCACTAGAAGTCCTTTTAACATCTTAAGACCCTTTTATAGTGTAGCATTAAGGCCAATTTATACTTCTGCGTCGGGTGCGCGCAGTAGGTACGGCGTAGCATACGCACAGACGCGTACCATACGCCGTACCCTTCGCCGTAACCTGACGCGCACCTCCTCAAAAATGTAACTACACGTCGCGACGACGCGGACCGCAAGATCTGTGATTGGTCGGCTTGGTAGCATCGCGTTTCCTCCTATGCATTTCCGGCGTGTTCTTCTGCACCGCCCGCCATTTTTAAATTCTAAGTACAGCGAAACTGTTAAAAAAACTAAAAATGTACCTTTTCCACCTCGATAAGCTCCAACTCCAACATGATCTGCTCTCTTTCAGTCGCCATTGCTTGTAGTAACTTAAACTCAAAACAGCCGCGAGGAATCTTCTTCTTCTTGCCGCGAGGAATCTAAACACAGTGGAACATTAAAACCCTCCGCCGCCAACTAGCGTTTCGGCGCTGTACTGCAGAGCAACGCAGACCTAAACGCAGAAGTATAAATGCTCATGACGCCGTCGCCTACGTGCGTAGCCTACGCCGTACACTACGGCGTACACTCGACGCAGAAGTATAAATTGGCCTTTAGTCTGATAACACAAAATCGAACAACCAAGGAACACACACACAACAAGGAATATCAGGAAACAAAAATAGTTTTATTTTCATAAACAAAAAAAAGTGCGTGTGTGTTGCGGGTAGGGGTGGAACGGTACACAGAAGTCACGGTTCGGTTCATACCTCGGTTCAGACACCACGGTTCGGTACGATTTCGGTACAATGGAGGGAAAAGCAAAACAAAAATGCAGAAGGCATTGTATTTTTTAAATAAGTTTTATTAATAAAGGCATAGAACCAGTTTATTTGTAGTGCACTGACAATAGTTTTATATAATTCGTTTATTAATTAAATTAATAAAAAGACAAAAAGACCTTGCGATATGTTTGGTAATTGTACCTGAATTTATTTAAAATTAATTTGCTATATTTCAGATAAATATATTTGTTTTCCTTAATTTTAATTAACATTATTAATTAACAATGTAACATTATTCTTATCTGAATTATAAATAATTGATTTCTGTATAAAATAATAAAACGCATTCGATTTTCTTTTTTAATCAATGTAGAATGTGTAAGATTAGTGCTCCGAGGACAAGAAATGAAAACCAATGCGATATGATGAATGTCTAAAAGATGGGACCCACAGACTGTTTTGAAATGGAGTTGGATAAATATGTTTTGCTTTTAAAACAGTGTGTGTGTGTGTGTGTGTGTGTGTGTGTGTGTGTGTGTGTGTGTGTGAGAGAGAGAGAGAGAGATTTTGGTTGGGTGACAGTTGTAGGTTACAGTTTGACAAGAGTTTACAGTGTGACAAAAGCACAATGTTGTGTTTTATTGCGAGTATACACAAATATAAGTAAACACTTTGCAGGTTTAATGATCTGTATGAACAAAATGACGGAGTATGTTTTTTATGTTTCCACTGTTCGATCGCGGCCGCGCCTCTCTCTCTCACACACAAACACACACACTCCAGCATTGCAATGTTGACATCGCAGCCTGTTCATTATGCGGTCACACCAAACGCGAATAGAGCGTTAAATTCGCGTCTAGTTCGACGCTAGTCCAAAGCGAATAGGACGCGCGTATAAAGCCAACGTTTGAAGTGAACGCGCGTTCAGAGCTAAGCCGATGGTACAGATTATGTGTCCCTAAAGAACCCGCGTATCTAACAGTAGTTCCGCATTACATTAATTAATTTTCACGCGAGTTTTATTTATTTTTATACCGTGTATTCTCCGTGTAAATTCGTGCACTGAACCG